TATAAAACATTCTTTTTGGAATGTCTTGTTTGCATTTTAAGAGATAAATAACTTCTATGGCTCAGAATTTTTCACTTTTTGTGTTGACCAAGCTCTCACATCTGGATTTTCTAGTCCAAAAAAGTGTCCCGAGACAAAAATCAGTGCAGCATACAGCCATGAAAGCTGAGATCGGAGTACTCGTTTAATGACTCCCTTTACACATCTCAAGATTAATTCTTCGGATGCAAGTAAAGAAGTAGATCGATCGAAGATGAAGAAAAGGGACAATTTTTTCTTTTAGAGCCTCATTAAGATGAGCATTAGAAATTTCTCGATCGGATGAGATTGTGGAAATTGAAAAGCATAATGTCGTCATTAATGGGCACCCTATACACAACCACCTTGTCAAAAAAGCTGAAAATTTCCTGGGCCTATACTTCCCGGGAATTATTGGTAAGTTCCATGTCGATGTTCATGACATCACATATTTTATCTGGCAAGTAAAGTAGTGAGTGCATGTTGCGTGGATCTCTCCAGGTCTACTAATTGGATGACCAAGTAATTGGTTTGCAATCTATGATTTTGCATGAGGAGAATTTAATCTACAGGATGCTTGGTGTTGTCGTGTTATATCCATAGTGGAGATCGACTAATACAAATATACTACGATAATACATTGCTGTCGAGTATCTTGTGGTCTCATTGTGATGCGGAATCTATTAGTGGTGCGTAATGATGCGGAATCTATTAGTGATGCGTTTCTGGATCGATTGGACATGCAGAAGTCCAAACGGAAGGCGAAACGGTAATGCGACTAGAACCGGCGGACCCAATCGACGACATCGGATCGGGCTCAAATTCAGTTAGTTGAAGCGAAACGACGTTCTGAACACAACTCATAGCCTTTGGCTGTAATCTACGATGGATTTTAGCGATTTGAGATCGTTTAGATGGATTTTTCCATTATTTTAGTATTTTTTATGAGTTAATTTTATAAGGGGCAATTTTGTAATTTTGATATTTGACGCTTTATAATCCTAGTTGGGTTAGGTTTAGGGATATATAAACTTGTTTAAGGGTTTTCTTTTAGACAGAACACTATTATCAATATTGAATTTCGAGATTTCTCTCTAAGCAAGGTTTTGCTTGAATTACTCATTGAACGCTGCGTCAGGTGGTATCAGAGCCTATGGCGATTGACGGTGGTCTTCGTGACGATGATCAGGAGACTGAGCCCTAATCCTTGGGGACGACGCGCTGCAACGTTTGGAGCAGCGTTTAATGGAACGCTTGGATCAACGATTCGATCAAAGTCTTCGTCGTTTCGAAGAACGATTTGACGAGTTAATAGATTGATTCGAAGGTTTCGGCGTTGATGTGAACCGGAATCGGCGGAACGACAGAAGGGCTGGTGCAGATCTTGCTCGCGGTGATCCTATTGATAGGCTTGTTCCTGTCCGTAGGCAGAATAATCTTCTGAATGCTGCGTCACGTTGACTCATAGGGTCTAAACAAAAGCATTGAGGATATCATCAAGGACAACGTATCATTCGGCGCAGTTGGTCCTCTTTTGCTTGAATGTGATCAACTGGCACTGAAATCATCAAGGACAGTCAGAATTCGGCACAGTTTGTGCTCTTCTGCTTGAATGTGATTAAATGACACTTGACAAGAGGTCGAGTTTTCTTTCCCTTTTGCCAGGTATGATTTCCAAGGTGGATTTTGGGGTGTGATGGGCAGACCTTGTCTGGGGATAATTCCAGTGAGACCTACTCTTTCTCGGCTCAGCAATACTTTTCAAACGTTGATGCACTAACCGAAGCGAGGGTCAAGACACACTATACTTGTCATTGGATATACTATGTTGTCTCATCTGACTTTAACCATATTTCTCCAGCTGGTCATTGAGGAGTTTGATTATCCCATGGCGGCGAATTGCGCTGCTAGTCTTTGTGAAAAGGAGAGAGCTACATCAGAAAGATTGCCAACGGCGCTGAATAGGTTCTACAAAATCGAGATTTCAGGAATAGTTTGGGATAAGAAGTCCGGAAAAAAGCTATGTAGGCTTGGAAAGCTCGGGCCAACGTAAGTCTTGCAAATGCGCATCAGCTAATGGGTTTCTTCTATAACCAAATCGTATTCTTCAGAAATTGGAAAGAATTCACTGATAGCACTTGTTAGAACTCACTATTCAATATGCTTTGGAATTGTCTTGGACTTGATAAGTGTTGGTTACTAATTCAGTTACCTTAACTAGACGGGGCAAAAATAAACCACCTTTAGCCAGGATTCGATGTCGCCGAGAAAACTGCAGTACATTTGATTTACATCTACATTACTTATCCCAAAAAGAAGAAGAAGAAGAAGATGTACCTATACATGTCATTTTTGTTCCTTATTCGATAATTGATGCTGTTTTCCTTCTTCCAGGCTCCTTTTGATTCTCTCAAGATGATCATCTGCTTTAGTGATTAGAGTAATTTAAGGAAATAGATTGACTTCATTCTCAACTGGAAGGGTGTGCTAGAAACCATTAATTAGTGAACTACCAAGAATCGATAAGAATCATGGTGCTAAACATTCGTTTGGTGTAAAATAATTCAGCTTATTGACCTTTTCATATAACGTATAACTATATGGTCCCTCGAGAAATCGTTCTCCGGTTGGCAAGAATTTGATCGTAATCCCGTATAATACTTGTTTCTTGGGAGTTCCTTATCGTTTGATCGTAATCCCATATAATCCCACAAGACTCGGGCATATTATATACTGATAAGCGTCTGACCCAAAGGAAAGAAAGGACTGAATTTAGTGAACTATCCTTGGACACGCCAACATCGATGTTATGTGCATTTGGCCCAATATCGTTTCAACTATTCTCAGTGTGGGGGCCCATGAGAAAAAAAAAGAAAGAAAAAAAAGCTTATCCTGCAATTTCTTTATTTTATCATCTTATTCTGCAATTTATTTTCCTCTATTATTGGTGATTTCTTTAAAATCTATTGTTAATGCTAATACTAACGAACATTTTCATTTTTCTATAGTTTCTTTCGGATGAAAGCATGGGATTCCAAATGGATGTTCTTTTTTGCCTCAAAATTCGAAGTTTTTGGATAATGAAAGCATATGAGGCTTCAATGATTGTCAGAATATGAGTAAAAAACACTGCGTCCACAATATATTTGAATTGTTTTTTTCACTTTATTAATAGAGAGGCAAAGGGTAGGCGATCACTCTTAAATAAACGTTGGGTATAAATATGGCAGTATGTTCAATTCGAAGTGATAAGATTTCAACTAGGACAGACAATATGTTTGGTGGCATGCTACTGTTGGCGCTCGAATTACAGAGCAAAAATGATCTAATTCAGATTATGTGAAGATAAAGAAATTAAACCCTTGGTCCGAATTCCACCACAATGTCATCGAATTTTTAGGAAATGCAAAAATCGCATGAGTTCAATGGAAACGGAGGTGAACATATAAGGGATCGAAAAATACTAGCAAAGTGGAATGTACAAGGGGGAAGTTCAAGGGATCATTGTCACCGAAATTGAAATAAAACAACTATGACACTTTGCAATCCCTTGTGATTTGCTGAGATTTTTGTCAATTACTCAGATTTAACTTGTTTCTTTGCACCTGGCCCACATATTGGTATTACTTTTCATGGCAATTAAGTAAAAAACCATCAAACGACTTACAGCAATTAAGTTCTTAATAAGAATGTTACTTCGATAGAAATAGGAGTTTTGCATAGTAAAAATGATTATTCGATCGCAAATAACATGCTCATTGGTGTTAAGTAGGATCACTTTATAGGGTAAGTACCATATGTTGTAGAATGCTCATTCATGGTAAAGAACTTCAACTCTCTTGATGTAATCTATCCATACTATATATAAAGCCAAATTTTGATTTCGGTGTCCAAGATGACCACAGCACTCTTATTTGATGTCAATCTCAATATTAAAAAAAAAACACAAATAAAGAGAGCATTATATATCATTAAAGAACAAAATTTGGTAATTCCAAGCGATTATCTAATAAGTCTCCTATACTTATGGAGAACAATCCTCGCCATTGAAATTTATATTCATACTCTCCTATTAAAATCAACAAAGCTCATTTCGAATCGGACATGTGCATAGCGCATGTGAAAAAGCTAGTTGATTGTAAAGAGCTATCTTGTATGATAGAGTGATCTTATTTTGTAAGATATCTCATTTCATTAGTCAATGGTCGTGGATGTTATTTTGTGGTAAACTTTACTCAAGCGTGATGAACAAGTTCTTTTGTGATAATGAAACTCCTTTCACAGTAAAAGCAACTCAATCGCGATAAGTAGTCGTTTGATTAGAGTTATTGAAAAATATAGCGGGAGTGCGAGAAAATTAATTATTTGTCGTAATGTTAGCTTAAAGTGTGCTCGAATATATGATTCTCTGGTAATTAAATGTATTTGGTGGCAAAACACTTCTTAACGAGGTGATCATTATTCGAATATTCAAGGAAAAGACGGTTGCATAGCTTAGCATCTCATCACTATTCGTACTAACTCCAAGTGATGGTGATGAATATCAATGTGCCCTTTTAGGAGCACAGTTATTGACAAGATCTGTTCACAGTTCACACAATACATGCGCGGCACAAAGTTGAGCGTGTCTAGGTGAAGTCTAATCATGTTGGTCATCTCATTTGTTCTCGAGTTATCAATGTATTTTGTGCGGGCTGACCCTTTTAAGCCCTTTACGACAAGCCCTGACGATTCGAAATTCGAAAGAAAATGCTTTTTAATTTGCTCGACTTTTATCATGAATCTTATGGAAGCAGAACTCTTCTTCTTCTCTAACATATTTCTGTCTCTCTCCCCACAAAGCCTCAGCACATGAACTTCTTATTCTCTTTAAATCACACACACGACTGTGACAAAAAAGAAAAAAAGATTGTATGTCAATGGGTAATGATAATTAAATAAAATCACTTTTAAATCTCTTTGTTCGTTTTCTTTTTTATCTATTTTTGTCTATGTTTTTTGATGTTTTTAGTGATAAGCCAGGGGACAATTCAGAAGTGGGTAAGGTGCAATAAGACTTTATCATACACATACACTGTTACAGACGTCATTGACATACACAAAGAGCTCATGAAAAGGGGATTTCGGGCGCTTATTTATAGGTAATTAAGCACCTCTTTGCAACATGATTTTTTTTAGCAAAAGAAAAACATGATTTATGGCTCATAGTCGAGTTACTTGCTTCACTTATTATATTTTATTACTCTGTAGTAGTGATCATGATATGCTCATCCCGTACGTGGGAATTCAAGCCTGGATTGATATACTAAATCTGACGATTTCTCAAGATTGGCATGCGTGGTTCGTTGATGGACAAGTTGCCGGGTTTGGTTTCGATAACAACTTTCTAGCTGTTGTGCAGTTTAATTTCTGGCAAATTGTCTTGACATCCCTGTACTTATGCGGATTGTATCAAATGAGGCTCCTACATTTTCAATAATCAATGAAAGTATAAGTTTCTCAGTTGTTTGTGCTCAGTTTGGTCTCTTCTTTTCTTGTAGGTATGCCACGCTATATTCTTACTTTCCATCCCTTCTCACATATGCAACCGTCAAGACGAGGAGATTCATATCCAAAATTTCTATTTTACAAACTCGTTTTCTTCTATTTTTCCCATTTTCATATTCGAATTTCATTCCCATTATATCTTTAGAACTTGTGAGTCGTACATTTCAAGAGTGGTATGAACTCCTTTGTGCAGGGAGCGGGACACACAGCTCCGGAATACAAGCCCAAGGAATGTTTTGCGATGATTAACAGGTGGTTTGACTATTACAACATTTAATTTGTAGTTGTAGCTCCCTTTTAATTAGCTGATTTATATAATGAACATCGCTGATGGAATAAATTTACGGTGCTCGTATACGAGAATGATGCTGAAATGGATGTCCTTGCTCATCTCTACGAATTCCGTATTAGAATGAGCTCCTCCGGCATAATCTCGTGACACCTTAAAGTGTTTTTCTTGCATGAATGTTGTTAACAATAGCGGTAATACAGTATTTGATAAGTAGCCGATTAAGCATACTTTACATTTTTCAGTGCACCGACCTGTCTCGTATCATGTGCAATTAATGCCTTGAAAGTAGAACCATTCCATCTGGAGTATATTTGATATGGGCCCTAAGGGCACTTACCATTGACACGATCCGAATTATGTACTCAATAGCATCGCTTCCGTGTGCACCTCCTCAATCATTGAATGCTGGATGGAAACGCACCCTGTACGATTCAACGACAAAACATTTTAGGCCGATGATTGCAAGGGGTTGCAAACGCTTTGGGATCACATAATTTGGGGAAAATGATTAAAATAGTACTAAACATATTGTATTTGTGCAAATTCAGTCATAAACATTTCAATCATTTCAAATTTAGTTCTAGACATTTCAACATTTTGCCAATGTACTCCATTCGGTAAATTTTGGCAGGAAATCGATGACATGGACGCCGGCTACCCCACCTGGCATGGCATTGCACTTAAGAAATTTGACAGAATGACTTCGTCTTGCCACTGCAAGGATGAAATCAAACAACACAAAAATTTAGGAATAAAATTTAATATTAACAAAAGTATGATGACGAATTGAAAAACTAAGCTCACAGATTAAATGTAACATTTGTGTTTAGTTTTTCTTTGCCAGCAATACTCGTGAATTTTTCTGATCGTCTTACATTTGCTCTGCGTTCTTCCCTGCCGCACCAAACTTGGATATTATACTGGATTCGAGAAATTCTACTTCTGTCCTTATTTACAGTCGCTGGATGGATGTGTGTTAACATATAATTCATTTATTTTTTTAATCAAATAATGGGGTTAAGACAAACGCTTAGTTTAGCGCGTAGTTACGTAATTATGTATAAAAAAAAATAAAAATGTATAATATATGTGAGTACGAAATAAAAGAATTCAAGGTAATTTATGAAGTTTACAAGTGAGAAGAGAGAAAGAAAATCAGTAGTTATTTATGAAATGAGTGGATGCGAGAGAAAGAGGATTTAGGAAATCTAAATGTGAGACAAAAATGGGTTTTGACTTAAAAATATATAAATTGAATATAATTCTTTCTTCCCTACCGAAATCCGGGCCAATTTTATTTTTACTTAGGCAAAAGCAATATCCCGTCAGCATCTAGTTTTTTTTTATTTTTTATTTTTTATTTTTATTTTTTTGGTCAAAAAGTAAAATGTTTCATTAATTAACTAACAAAAGGATAACATAAGTTATGGGTTTTTGAACATAAAAGATCTCGTAGAGATAATGGCGGTGTTGCAAGCCAATCTTGCGGTAGGGCTTTCTTGCGATGTGTTTTGGCTAAGAAATTTGCCACTTGATTTGATTATTCAAATCAAGTGGCAGATTTTGTCAGCATCTAGTTCATTATTCAAATTTCGGAGAATTATATGAAAATAAAATTGTATTTGAATTTACGTAACAACATTTGAGAACTGTGGAGTTTCAGATTAAAAAAAAAAGTCAAAATGTGTGAACCGTAAGATTTTGATTAAATATACAGTAAAAAGTAAAAATCAATCTACGGATACTTCATAATTGTTAATTTTATCCTACACCTTTTGACGATTTATCAAGGTAGTCTTTCCAGCCAAATATCCAAATAATAGGTTTATGATTAAATTGACAAATCTTCAAAAGGGTTTAGGACTAAATTGACACAAATAAAGGTTTAGAACTAATTTGGCAAATCGTCAAAAGGCTTAAGACAAAATTGGCACAATTAAAATGTTTAGGATTGAATTGGCTGCCGTACAATATATTTTGGACTTTTTGGACAATTATTCCCTTCTAATTCTATGAGGATAAATTGGCTCGGTTTTTTTGCCCCAGAACACAACACGACATCGGGAGCAGGGCCACTTGAGAATTGTTTTTGGAGCTCGATCAATATAAAATGGATCGGGTCATTACCAATGATATCAGAACACGAGGGAGTGCGTGCATCGTAATTTGTATATCGGCATATATATTTTTCTTTTCTAATGAAAAATGCCGTTTGCCGACCTGTTTAATTAGATTTTACTCGATTCTTTATAGCTACTACCAAGTCGAAGTGGGCGGGGTTGCTTCTTTTGCCTCTCAAGTCAGTAGGTGATACGAGTTGCTTGTATTAATAACGTTTAGGTCAAATTGCAGAGAGCTCAGAAGAGCAACCATTGGAGAAATCGATGGCTATCATAGCTTTTGTTGTAAAAAATAATAATATATATGTCAAGGTTGTTAATGATTTTTGGGGCTGCAGAGGTTCTTGAATATGATTTGCTTATTCAAAGACGATTACACCGAGTCACGTAAATCGATTTTAGAGTCACTAGCACTACACAAGGAATATCTCTCAATCTTTCCGGATGTCCAAACAAGATGGTGTCCGAAAGCGCTTTCACAATCGTCGAAAGTCATAACACCAAAGAAGTAACAGCACTTTGAACATATAGCATATACGTGCCTTCTGGGTTGTGCCGTATGAGGTCTTTCCAGGAACCTGTTGTTGACAACAATAGCTAGGTCCATTTAAAGTACCGAGGAAAAACGTCGCTAGCAATACCATAAATTTCTTATGATGCTCATTTTAGCGTCATAACTTTTCGAACGATCAATTAACCACAACTTTAAACATCAACCACTCAAGGGACATTGACCACCTCTATCGCCGAAAAATCCCATGCGTCCTTTTTTTAGAATAAATAATCCGATGTGCCTATCTTGACATGCACATGGTCGTCGTCGTCACTACGCTGAGGACACTTCGGTTTTGGTTGGTAGGATAGGATTCAGCGGGTGTGTCGCCGCTTCCATCCTCTTCAGAGTAGAGAACATCATTTGTTATTGTTCAATTGGAAAGCGAAGCAAGCGACGCAAAGCAAAGCAAGGCAAGCAACGCAAAGCAAAGCAAGGCAAGCAAAGTTGCCGTTAACCATGGTGGAGTTAAAAGTTGCTTTCTGGCCCTTCAAGGAATATAGATATCTTAGATATACACTCTACCACCACTCTCCTTCCTTTTCATCTCCCCTATAAATCCACAAGCGAGAGGGGCTTAGGGCATGAGTGTATATATCTAAGACCTATCAATACTGTGTGCAATATCTGTACTATATTTGGTGCTGTATCTATGGGTCATATGTCCCTTGGTCATTGGTACCGTGCTACTTAGTCTTAGTAGCTAGCTACTGGCACGGTTTAAACAGATACTCGAATTTCAAGGAAAATCTGCACATAGGGTATAAACTTATTTGGGCCGATGATTGGATACATGCATGAGACTACTGAGCTTAAAAACTATTTCCGTCTGCCCCTACACGCACACCAACTGAAAACAATTAGAGCAAAGTCTGCCTATCACAAAGATGGTTCTGCTTCTGCATGAAAGAAAAATAAACAATGGACGCCACTTCACCACAACTAACCAGGCCAACAAACTAAAAGCCTCCTCGGAACTCAAGCCTGTTATTCCCCCGGTATGGGCGGCACAACCTTGGTCATTCCCTCTCGGAATGGGCGTCAAGATGTTATTCCCCCCCGGTATGGGCATTACTGCTCGGGCGGGACGGTTGTGACAACTTTTCCTTACAATAGAAGACTCCAACCTGATGACCTCACCTCCACTTTTTTCATTTCCCAAGTGATAATCTACAGCATCGTACTTCTGTTTGCTCCACAAAGCTAACCCCCCAAGCAACCTCAGGCTTACATGTGCCATCAACTTTTGCCAAGATTCCAAACTTCTTTTTTATGTTGAGAAAAAATGTATGTGGAGTTGTCTAGGCAGTATGTTGGGCATCCGTGTGCTTGTTCTCTTCTTGAAAAAATTAACCACCAATCCCGTAGAGGGCGAAGCTTGACATTATAGATGAGGGGGATGGTCAAATCATACTTGAGTACTTTAAACACGTTCAGAAAGAGAATCCAAGCCATTTCTATGCAATTGACTTGAACAAGGAACAGTGCCTGAGAAACTTGTTCTGGGCTGATGCTAAAAGTCAGAATGATTATGCCAGCTTTTTTAATGATGTTGTATTTTTTGATACGTCTTATGTCAAAGGTAATGATGAGTTTCCATTTGTGCCGTCTGTTGGGGTAAACCATCATTCTCAGACTATGCTGCTTGGGTGTGCATTGGTTGCAGATAAAACTAGATCAACATTTATTTGGTTAAGGAAGACATGGGTTTGGGCAATGGGTGGAAAATCTCCTTCTGTGATACTCACAAATCAAGACAAAGCCTGAAGGAAGCCATAGGAGAAGTCTTACCACAAGCCCGTCATTGCTACCTTCTTTGGCATATCGTTGACAATAATAATTAATTAGGTCGTCGATAGTGAAAATAAATATACAAAATGATAGGGATAACTACATAAGGATATCGATGACAAGTGACGTAAGCCATAAAAGTTTGGTTGCAGAGGACAGCTGGCAATCACTAAAATATCCTAGCGGGAAGTTTAAGAACTTGAAAATTGAAAAGACTGGTTGCCGCCCGGGTATTCGTACTGTGGATTGTCGACGAGAATTGTTATGAGAAGACTAGGCCATCGAAACTATC